TTTAGAAGTCTGATCTTTTGGTTTGGGTTTAGGTTTTTTTTTGGTCTATGTAGAACTGATTGTTTTGGGCAATCAAATTCTTTTTCAAAGAAACAAAGTGCCCAGATCTGCTTCTCACACCACAGCATTCCCTGGTCCCAAACGAAGGAATGGTTTGAAATCCAGATCTGTCCAGAGGAGGCATTTGTCATTTGGCAATTACCCGAGCAGCAGGGCAGGAATCAGCTGCCTTTGCAATTGTTTTGCTTTCCAAACAATGCATTATTCAAAAGAACAGCAAATGGGTTCCATAATGGGCCCAGTCGCTGGTGATGGATAGAAGGAGACACCAGCAGGATGGAATGTTTTGCAGCATGTTTATTTCCCCACTCTCTCTCACGCCTCTATAAATAGGCTTTTCTCTCACCTATTCCCAGAGCTGGAATTGTTTTCACTAATAGTTGAATATTGCTCCTATTAACCACTTGGGGAAGCCAAATCTGCAAGATGCAGGGATGGTTTATACCCAAAGCAGCATCATTAGGTTGAAAATAGATCTCCCAGACATTCCTGTGCCTAGCTGCTACCTCTTTTTTCTCCCCCTTCCCTTTTTCTCTTCATTATTAGCAGATTTACAGTTGTTTACACTGCAGCAGCCTAAATGCACTTTATAGTCTATTGGGAAATATTAAATTGTTGTTTGTGATCCTCAGCACTGGCTGATTTAAGGAGAACCAAATGCTCCAGCCCACAGAAAGCAGGAGGGCTGAATCACTCTGGTTTTTGGCTGTCTCTGCTGTCCAAGGTCAGATTTCTCTGCCCATTATTATCATATTTACTTTTTTTTCTGTCCCAGCACCAGCTCTGTGAGTGAAAGGCACAACGAAGAGAGCACCAAGCTCAAGTATCTCTCTTAAAACTGAAGGATGAGGCTGTTCCCTCTTGTCCTGTCCCTTGTCCCTTGGGAGCAGAGCCTGACCCCCCCCTGGCTCCAGGCTCCTGTCAGGAGCTGTGCAGAGCCAGAAGGTCTCCCCTGAGCCTCCTTTGCTCCAGGCTCAGCACCCCCAGCTCCCTCAGCTGCTCCACACTTGGGCTCTAGAGCCTTCCCCAGCAGCTTCATTGCCCTTCTCTGGCCCCTCCAGGTCCTTCTTGAAGTGAGGGGCCCAAAACTGACCCTCAGATTCAATGTTCAGCCTCCCCAGTGCCCAGCCCAGAGGGATGATCCTGGCCTAGTCCTGCTGGCCACAGCAGTGCTGCTACAAGTCAGGATGCTGTTGGCCACCAGGGCACACTGCTGGCTCATCTTCAGCCAGCTATCAACCAGCACCCCTGCAGGGAGATGATGGATGACAGCCTCACTCAGGAGACCAAACAAACTCATGAGCTGTACCTGAACTCCTGGTGGTAAGTGAGAATCTCCAAAGCAGAGGTTTCCATTGGAGTCCTCCACTCCCAACCAGTAGGAATATTTCCAGGCTTCAGCTCTGCATGGGACCTGATCACTCACTGTCACCACAAGCTCTGCCTCAGCACCTTTGGGGCTGTTGCCCAAAGCTGGCTGGTAGGACATGCAGGTCAGGAGGAAGATGCCAGAACAGAACTGAGACCAAACCTTTTTGAGGAGCTGATCAAATAAATACTCCTTGCAGCTCTTCAAATGTTGGTTTTGACTCAGCCACACATGGAAAAATAACACAATAAGCCAAGAAAGCCTCTCTGGCTCTGCCCAACCCAGTAGACATCTCACTGCTTGAACATCCAGTGTTTCCAAACAGAAACCACGGCCCTCAAACAAACCTTCCTCCACCTACCTAAGCCCATCAGCCATGGTGAGCTTGCCCAGCAGGAGCCCCCTGTGAACCAACGTGTGAGGTGGGGTCACACCTCCCAGCTCCGCCACGGGCTTCTGTCGTTTTGTTTAAAAGCAAAACTTTTAATTTTTTTAAGCTTTTTTCCTTCTAGTTGATGAGATGCTGGGACACACTTACGCCACGATCCCCGAAAGGTGGAACATCTCAGCAGTGAGGTAGGAGAGGTAGCTGTAGAGGAAGACAAAGAGGGGCTCGATGACACGGATGTCCTTGGTGAATCGCGTGGTGAAGGCGGCGGTCATCCCAAAAGTAAGACCCACCAAAACTCCTCCTAGCCCAACCACAAAGAACTTCCCAACTCCAGCAAAGATGTCCGTGCTTTTGATGGTTGGCATTTCACAGAAGGATCGAAAGAGCTTGTAGAGCACCTGGGGGAAAAAAAGGAAGGAGAAAATCACTAGATACCAGCCAGAGGTGGCCATAAGGGAGCAAGCTAGTTTTGAGCTAGAAAAGGGGAGATTTAGGTTAGATCTTAGGAAAAAGTTCTTTAATGTGAGGTTGACCACTGGAATAGGTTGCCCAGCAAGGTGGTGGAGGCCCCATCCCTGGAGATATTCAAGGTCAGGCTTGATGAGGCTCTGAGCAGCTTGAATTGGAGATGTCCCTGCTTATAAGCAGGGGAGTTGGACTAAATGACCTTTGGAGGTCCCTTCCAACCCAACTATTCTATGATTCTACAAGTAGCAAGGACACTGAAGTATGCTGCTGGGATTTCTGCCAGTGCAGGGGCAGCACCCTTCTCTGGAGGTCAGGTTCCTACCAGGGGCATTTCTCTCTCCAGCCATACAAAGATTTGTTCACCTAAAACCTTCTCAAGACCTCAGCCTAGAGAATTAGACCGGGGAGTCCTCCGCTAGGAGAGGCTGTTGACGCCTTTTCCTCCTGCAGACCTCACATCCCACCTCTCACACCACCCACCACTCAAAACGAAGGGTTGTCCTCACCACCGTGACGGCGTCGTTGAGGAGGGACTCTCCAAAGACCAGGATGTGAAGCTTTTCATTGACATGGATCTCCTCAAAGACCGCCAACACCGCCACGGGGTCCACGGCGGCGATCAGGCTGCCGAAGAGCAGGTTGTGGAGCAAGGAGACGTCCTGCAGCCGAAAGGCTTTCACCTGGCAGATGCCATAGAGGGAAAAGCCAATCCCAAACACGTTCCAGATGGTCCCCACGACGGCGTAGAGGAGGATGGTGCCCATGTTCTCAAAAAAGGGACGGCTGGGCATGAAGTAACCTGCGTCGAGGACGATGGGGGGCAGGAGGTAGAGGAAGAAGATGTCGCTGTCCATAACGGGTGGTGACCTGTCGTTTAAGCCATAGATGATTCCCCCCATGATGAGTCCTACAAATATCAATAAACAGCTCTCGGGCACGACAGAAGGCAGCTTGTTATACAGGTGAAATGCTGCAAGGGGATGGATGGATAAGAAAACGTGTTATTAACCTGGCAGAAGAACACCCACCAGCTCCTCGGTGGGGTGGGGAAGCTCCCCATGCTCCCACCTTCAGCAAGGTGGGTCTTGGAGAAGTAGGAAATACACACAACTAAGGAGAAGTCGCCCAATAAGAAGTCTAGAATTATAAGAAGACTAGAATTATGAGAAGAACTATAGAGATTAGACCTATAAGAAGTCTAGAAGAAAGACTAGACCTGTAAGAAGTCCAGAAGAACAGACCTGTAAGAAGTTTAGAAGACTAGAACTATAAGTCTTGAAGGCTAGACCTATAAGAAGTCTAGAAGATGAGACCTATAAGAAGTCTAGAACTACAAGAAGACTAGACAATCAGAAAGTTCACTCAAAACCCCAAACTGTCTAAAATTACTGTTGGTTCAGACTGCACTTCATCATAACAAGGTTAAAGACATATTTTTAGGTAAAACACTAAATAATCCGCATCAATAAAAGGCATTTGGAATTATTTATGATGCAATCCAGCTCACACACCATCTTCAGCACGAATGCAAACAGCAGCTGCTGATTTTGAGCACAATGCAGATCCCATACATCCAAAACAAGGACAAAAAACCTCATCCTCATTAATTATAAATGGTGCCACTTTCAATATCGTTTAATCATTAACACTTAAAGATAACATTGAAAAAAGTCCAATCAAGCCAGGCTTGTGCAGCACCCAGTGTTAGAGAGAAATGCTGACAGCCACTACCAGTGCTCTAGGTGAGTTATTAAAATAATAAATTTATTATAAGAACCAAAATGAATTGAAACAAACCAAACTCAAACAGGAACAATAAGAAAATCTCTGATCGTTATCCTTCCTCCATGCTTGTTAATAAAGTTGAGATCTCATCATATAATGTGCAGAACAGCACAACAAAAAGACCATTTCCATCTGAAAGAAGTTGGGATTTTAAATGAATCTCAGAGACTTCTCCCTTCTAAGGAAAAAAATAAAAGGAAAATGAAATTAAATAACTTTTATCACAGTGATTTAACAGAACTGGTCACAATTCCTGGAGAAAAAATAAGATGTATATTTTTCTACTTTCCTATTTCCATTTTTGCAGGCAAAAAAATAGGTCCAAGTTATATAAAATAGAATTTCTTGGGTACCATTACCCAGATAACCTCGATGCTGGGAGATTTTCTTTTAGGCTGCCCAACACCCTGGCCCACAGACTGAGTCCTTCCTTGCAGCTGGCCAGACACAAGATCCTTTTTGAAGACCAAGGAGTCTTCTTTTTAAGGTGATGTCAGTGGACAACCTGCCTGCAGCTGGCCAGGTAACAGAAATGAATGCTCACCTTGGTGTGGACTGCAGTTAAATACTTCTTCTCCTGGAAACCCCAATATTCATCCTACTAACACCACTGTGAGCTTGCAGATGGAAATCCACCATTTCCAACTTCAGCTGCAACTGGGTGGTTATTTTCCATGCATGCATTGGGTCTGGCACACAACATGGACATCCTTAGGACTTGAGAGGTTATCTTGAGGCTCCAAAATTGGAGAAGCAGTGGCAACCCTGCCCACACCATCCCCACCCATGTCCCTCCTCACCTCCTTACCTATTTTGGCCAAGGATGCAAGCATGATCCAGAGTGTGATTTCAAAGGGGACTTGGACGTGCTGATAATCCAGAGAGAAGAAGGCATGCTCTGAGGACTCATTGCCCTGGGCTTCCTCAGCAGCCCAGCTGATGTTCTCCAGGGTCACATCCTCCAGCAGCGGCATCGGTGGGGAGCCCTGCAGGGGTCTGGCCTTGGTGGCCCCTGGAGGACAGAGGAGAGCAAGGACCCAGCTAGGACAGCAGCTGCAGCTTTGCACCCTGGTCGTTGCCTCTCCACTCACCCTGGGTGATGTCTGCTGGCCGTTGGCTGCTCCTGGTTGGTGGTTCCCACTGCTGTGGGTGGGTTGGGAGTGCTGCTGGAGGCACCAGAGCTCAGCTCACCCCCCCTGTGCATGGGCTGCTGCAAGGGGAGGAGCAACCACTCCACCTCCTGCTGACTCTCCTCCCTGATCCATTAGTTTCCAGCTGGGAAGACCCCATGGGAGAACCTCACCCTTTGGCACCATGAGCCCCAAAAGGCAGGGGCTCCTCCTGCAGATGCTTCCTTGAAGAAGTGCCTGGTGTGCCCTTAGACCCCCAATGGATGCTTGACAAAGAGAGAACTTGCACTTTAGTCCCTACTTGAGACATATTTTGTCTGCCAGTCTCTCAGAAACCCTTCTTGGAGGGGGAAAAAAACGCCCAAAACAATCCTCAGTGCTGCTAGAGCTTTGATGGAACAGGTCCCACATAAAGCAGAAATGGACCCATCTTATGGTGGGCATCACTGGATCTCTCCAGTGCCCACGGAGAGAACACATGGCAGCAGCAGGACCAGCAATCAGAGATTCACAGAATGAGGGCTAACAGTCAAAGTTCTCTTCACTGCTTGAAAACAGCATCAAAACCTGAGTTTGGAGGGACAGAAGTATTTGCACCAGTGTCAGATGTATTAATAATACCAAGGGGGACAAAAAAAACCCACACTGGGACAAATTTCTCTGCGGGGGAGTTTCCTTTCAGCTGCTGATGTTTCAGCAGGGATGAATTTGGTCCAGAGCACACATGTAATTAAAACACAGAGGCCCCGGGCTGCTGCCAGGCTGATCGATGGCCTGTTTTGTTTCTCCTCAGCTCCAGAAATGACACCCAAATTGAGCTGCCAGCAACATGCTGCTGACCCACTTTCCTGCTGTGGACTCAGACCCCAGCCCCACGCAGACACAGGTCCCAGGTTTTCAGGAGGATAAATTTTGGGGAGAAATGAGTGATACACTCCATGAGTGTCCTCTCTCTACTTCCCCATGGTTCATTTCAATTTCTAGCATGTCTCTACCACACATGATGACTTTAAAGCAAAGCAACACCCCTCCCTTTAGAGCAGGCTTCCAGCAAATCAAGCTGTTCACAACTTGGTGCCACTTCTCCTGTTGTATATTTAAAAAATAGTATTTTTTTTTTAGGGAGAATAGAAAGGACAGAAATCCCAACAAGGTTTTCCTCTACCTTTGTTTCATAGCTTAATTCCCTACAGTCTGGGATGGGGAGGAGAGGAAGAGGCAAGGAGACAGGATCCCTTATTACTCAGGAGGAGGGAGAATACACTCCTCTTAACAGCTATTAAGAAGTAATTAAAAAATTACTCAGCCTGAGCTCTGAGCAGAGGAAGCAGTTTTGAGCCTGAGCCACATGCCCAGCCATTGTATTCCCTTCTTCTGCCAAAATATTCAGTGCTGAGCTTGGGGCTTTGAAGACTTGTTCCATTTGGGGGCATGGAAAAAGGAGTTTTGACAGCTTCCCATCCCCCTCCACCCCCAAAACGATCCATTCTGATGTTTGCTGTTCTCAGGAAAAGCAAAAACCAAGTTCATAATCTATAATAACACCTTTACCTTCAGCCAAAAATGAAATATTTGCATCTTGGAGGGGAAAAAGACCCACAGCAGGGAGCTCAATAATGCTGTCTGTCTGGAAAATATTTCTGTGCATAGAATCAATATTTGATAATGGAACCAGAAATAAACAACAGAGTTGGGACAGCCTCTGAGGAAGGTCAACAGAGGGGAGAACATTCAGATACACTCTTGAACATGGTTGAACATGTGGGTACTCACCTCACCTGCTCACCAAAACCCACCCTGGTTCTCAAGAAAGAGAGATAAAATGTTAACAGAGGGGGAAAGAGCCTAGGCCAGTACCCTGGGCAAGTTCTTGGTGCACCTTTTTCAGCTGCTTTCTGTGACAGGGGTGGCAACAGCTCACACAGATGGATCAGTGCAGCCTCTCTCCAGCTTTCACCCCAAAAAACTTCAGGCATCTCCTGAAAAGCACCAAGGGGTAACTGGTTCCAAATGAAAGAGGGGATATTTGGATGCAAGGAAGAAATTCTTCACTCTGAGGGTGGTGAGAGCCTGGCCCAGGTTGCCCAGGGAAGCTGTGGATGCTCCATCCCTGGAGCTGTTCAAGGCCAGGCTGGATGGGGCTTGGAGCACCCTGGGCTAGTGGGAGATGTCCCTGCCCATGGCAGGGGGGTGGAACTGGGTGATCTTTCAGGATCCTTTCAACCCAAACCATTCTAGGAGAGAACCTAACCTTAGATTGCAGCAAACTGGATGAATGGATGCTCCTTAACTCCTCTGCACCCCACGGAGCCCAGGCAAGAATATATTAATCTAATTTAAACACATCAGTGGTTTCACTCAAAAACCTCTGGTTTTAAGGTGGAGCTGAACAAAATTAGAGTGAGGAAATTCAATATTAATTAGTAAAGGAGAAGGTTGAAGACTCTTTGCCCACGCCCTCTCACCACCAGGAAGCTGCTGAGGTTGTATGCAACCACCATGCAAATCTTGTGGCTCATTATTTGACATTTTGCCAACCTGAAAACCCCCAGATTTCATCACTGCTGATTTTATCTTGCCTAAATGGAGAGACTTCCACAAACAATCCCTCCATATCTCCATTAAGATCCAACAGATCCATCTTCTCCTGCTCTTTAGTTTCCACACAGCTTCCTTATAATTTCCTTACTGCTCTCACTGCAACCAGCTTGGCTGTGCTGCAATTAACAACTGCCTAATTAACATGGTCTTAAAGGATTCCTATAGGGCAATCCCTGGCTGAGGAACCACTTCCATCATGCTGACACTTGACTTCTGTTTGGATTCTGCTTTTGTCAATAACAGCTTGAGTGCTCTGAGCAATGGCTTCAACCACTTGGAAACTAAGTGGCCTTTTTAAGTGGCCTTTTTTCTTCAGTGAAGACTGTAACTGTGGCCTCAATAAAACCACTAAAGCTTGTCCTTTTTGGTAATCCCAAAAGCTGTTTTTCTCATCTAAAAATTTTCATTTTTAAAATTCATTTCCCAATATTTAATTCCCTGAAACACAAAGTCACACAATTGCAAATCAGGTTCATATTCAAGGGGTGATAGATTTCTTCCATTAAATACTAGTTTTAATACTCACTCCTTTTTAGACAATCAAACTTAAAGTCCCTAAAACCATGCAAAAAAATATCCAGGTCATGGTGCTTTGCAGTGGGTCAGTCTGAGAGACCCAGAGGCTGAGTCCAACCAGAAGCATCAACCATGCCATGGAATTTATTCCTCATTCATTAGGAGCCCAAACCAACAGGACTTCCAAGGACTTCCTCCAAATGAGACCACAGGTGAAGATTTTTCCTGCTCTGGCTGCTGGGAAGGGTGAAGGACATCAGCTGCTTCCTCATGCTGCTTTCCCTCACCCTCAGCTGCAGAGGGAGGAGAAATTCCTCTCATTCACCATTTTCTGCCAGTTTACTCCTCCCATCCCTGCCCCAAACTGCTACCCAGCTGCAGGGAAAGCACACAAGCCTGGACATAGTTTGGGTTGGAAGGGACCTTAAAGACCATCTAAGTAGCTGACATCCATTGCTCTTTCCTTACCCACCAAAAATGAAATATCCACCTTAATTCATGGACTTCAACTCAGTGTGAAGATCAGTCCCCATTTTTTGGCTTACTGAGCACCACGCTGCTCTCCCTGGACACCCACAGGCTGGTCCCACACCCTGATGCAGTCCAAGGTAAGCTGGAGATGCACAGTTAGAGGTCCACAGCCTTTGGTTTCTTTTTGTGGAGTGAATATGAGCAGGTGGCTACTTCCTAGGGTGTATTTGTTATATAAAAATATTCAATAAATCTGTCTGAAAGGCATCTGAGTGCACTGGCACTGCCTGTGACCAGTGACCTGGATGTTATTTTCAGTAGCTGGGCTCCAGCAGTGCATGGCTAGCAAAGGAATGGAGTTGGGCCACCTTCCCTTCTGAGCACACAAACCTCCAGGCATATTATTTTCCAGTCTAACTTGCACAATTTCTGCATATGCAGCATTAATCTTTTTACTTCCTATGCCAGGAAAGGGTTTTTTTTTTTGTCATTCAACGAAAAGGAAAGAGGAATAAGAAGGAAGAAAATTTGTTCATTTGTAACTTCAAGGGAAGATTTTTTGGAAATTTGTCTGTGGTGAAGTTCCCTCTAAGTTCACAAACCTCACTCAGCTGAAGCAAAGCAGGAATATGGTTTATATACACAAAAAAAGTGAGTTTTTTTGTTACATGGAAGATTAATTACTGAAGCATCAACTTTACATGGTTGAGCAACAGGCAGAGCAAGGAAAGAAATGGTCAGTGTGCCTTACAAGTTGGACACTGGAAAGCAGAAGTTCAGTCACTACAGCTGGGGAATGAGAACCAAAAAACAGCAACATGGCACGTTAAGAAATGGTATTATTGCACAAACCAAGAAATTTGTGGAAGGGCATCAAGGATCCCCACGTAGGAAGTCAGAGCTTACACATCAGCAATACCCCACGTGGGTATTTTGATCACAGGGAACTCTCAGGCTGTGCCCTAGAATTTGGGGAATTTATAGGGGGATTCCTACAGCTGGGTAAGGTAGGACCTGAGAGTTTGCAGAAAAGCTTGATACAAAACCATGAGAAGTTCATCAGGGTTGTGCTGTGTTGCCTAATGAGAAGTGAAGAGCTTCAGCTCTGATGGATAAACCCCCACACAAAAACAAAGGGTCACTGAAGTCTGCAGCCTTCTCTGGGGCTAATTCAACTGCAGTGGTGCTACCAAAAGAAACACAAAGCCAGCTCTGGCCAACCTGCCAGCACTGCTGGAGCAGTTTCACAGGGTTCAGGGCTGCCTAGTTCAGTTTTTACACAAAACTGGAGCTGTATTTGGGGAAGGTGTTGGTTCCACTCACCCTGAAGGAGAAGAGGACCTTAAGGAGACACAGAAAACCCCCACCAGTCTTCCTGCTTCTCCTCTGCCTGGTTTTAAAGTCACAGCTCTTCTGGCCTCCTGCAGTCTTTGTTCACTGGGTGAGGTTCCTCAGCCCCTCACTCATCCATCTCTCAGCTCCTAGACATGAGTAAATGAAGCCCCAGGAAAAGTGAAGAGATGCCAAATTGTTTCCAAGAAAATTGTAGCCAGATTGTAACAGCAATGCCAAATTTTCTCCCTGAGAGCCCCAAACATCCCAAGCAAAATAAAACCACCAATGACCCCCAGCAGATTTTGTGGAAGTGTCAGTAATTCAGCTCCAGACACTTCTGCTGCCCATTGATGCACGAATCCACCCCTGGCTCCCTGCATGGCATCCAACATTCCTCCAAGCTTTTTTTGCCTTCCCCAGAGCTGAGCCCTGGAGTGAAGGGGGAATATCCACAGTCCCTGGGTGGGACAGGGTGGAGGAAAGGAGGTCCTGGGCCTTTTGGGATCCACAGGTCAATGCTAAACCCTTTTCTTTCCACCTGGAAGCCTGCAGGCAGCCAGGAGGTTGGCTGTGGTGGTGGCAGAGTTCGTTAGCAGCTGGGCACTCATTTACCAAGCAGCTGCTGAAACCCACGGGGGGATTTGTACTCCAAAGAGATTGATGGGGTTATCACAAATAAATTAACTCCAAAGAGATGCCAGGCAGGGATGATGTGCTGAGGTTCTTCTGGCAAAGAAAATGAATTAAAATCAAGTCGTTAACTTTTGGAAACCTGTATGAAAAAGCCCAAAAATCAGGACTGCAATTTGATGTAGGAACTAGTGGAGGAAAAGCTGAATTAGCCCCTTTTTGGATTGTAACCTGCAGAACCTAAGAACATCAGTTGATGGAAGCTGTCACCCTGCACATCTGGGTGATCTTCTTGCAGGAAATAATTCTCCATGCAAAGAGAGGTGGACTTGGAGATTTGTTTGCAAAGTGGATGTGAACCTCTGCAAGTCCTGAACTTCAAGGTACTAAAGGAAACCTCCACTAGATATCATAATTTAACAGCTATCAGAAAAGTTGTTAACACTGATCTGGAAAGTAAAAATCTCTATGACACACCCAGGTAGATTAAGGGGTTTATATCCCACAGCAGATAATGAGCTGGGGAACAATGTCCAATCTACAGGCCAGTTAATTGGGTAGATTTAATTAAAGAGCCCAGCTTACTCCAGGGTCCTGATCCCAGCACCTTATGAACATGGAATAAGATCTGGATATGAAAACAAGAATTCCCTGCCAGCATTTCTCCAGCATTTTCCAGATCTTCTGGCACGTGGATAAAAATATCCACCAGCCCAAATTTGGCCTGAGACATCTGACCTGTAAAATATGGCCCTGATTTCACTTGGGATAAAATCCATCTGCTGTCCTTCAGCAGCCTGGAAAAATGGCTCTGGGGGGATTTTTCCCTATGGAATTTAAGCTCACTGAGGCATTTTTCCTGCTAGTGAAAACGGGCACAGCTCTGGTGCAGCTGGTGGGAGTTCTACTCCCTCAAACAGAAGTAAATTCAAAGCATGTCATTAAATGAAATACAGCAATTAAAATCAGACCATTATCTAAGTGAATAACAAAGGTATTTGTCTCATCTTTCCAGAAATTCCTAGATTTTGCTCCTAGAATGGAGCAAACACCACAGATCTCTTTCTTCCTAGAGAGAGAAGTTAATATTGAGAAGTTATTTACACTTGGGATTACACCAGAGTAATAATAAAGGGTGGGAAAATTCATCCATGATACTTTTCCACGGGCAAAACTGCACAGCATCAATAAGAAAATGGAGCTTTGGTAACAAGAGGCATTCATCTACCTCTTAGTCCTGCTAAAACTTGCATTGTTGTGCCAAAGAGCAATAAAAATTAGCTGAGAACTCATTTTCTCTTTCC